CTTTCTCCCGAGGATTTGGATTAGTCGTCTTTTTGGTCGCATCCATTGTGATTCTTAATTTGCAGTAATATGAAAGTGCTCTAAATACACCAGATTCTTATTTTTTTATCACTTTACAATGATAACAATGATCGAAACTCTTTAAGATTTTTATCACCCAATTTTTGGAATGAACAGCTTATCAAAATTAAAAACTAATTTACGTTTTAATTTTCAGGCTAATATTTTCTTAACTTGATTCCTTATCATAGATCATTTGATTAATTTTCTTTTTTTAGTTTTATCGAGCATGATCGAAGATTGGGAACAAACAAAGATAAGCATTCGTAATTAAATGCATTTTTATATTGACGAGTAATAACCTGGAAAAATTAATCATCTAAATACACAAATTAAAGTTCATACATGAAAATTTATATTTCTGACAAATTATTATCAATTTTCAATAAAACTAAAATTAGCCGACCTTCAACAATTTTTGATTTTTTTCAACAATTAAATTACAAGTAAAAAAATACTTAAAAAAAATTGCATGTATAATTTTTCAAATTTTCTACATGTGAAATTTTTTTGTAATAATTTTTTCAATAAAAAAAAATTATTAAAATTTTCAGTTGTCAGCTAATTTAATTTTTATCAATTTTTCATTAGATTTTATTGAATATCATATTTTTAATTGACTAAATAAATTTTATAATCGCAACTTCTTTATCGGAATTTCAAAAAATAATTATACTCTATTTAAAATTATGACACTAAAGTTAGCCGACGTTTTTGATTTTTTTTTTCCATTTATTAAATTAAAACTGAAAAATATTTTTCAAAAATTGCATTATAAGTTTTTCAATTTTTTTACAAGTCAAATTTTATTTTTTTGTATAAATCTAAAAGGTTTTAGATGTCAGCTTAATTTTCATGTAAAAATTGTATTTTACAAGCGATATAGAATAATGAAAAATTGTATATTAAATTACATTCAATCACTAAATAAAAATCACTAAATTTTTCTTTAAATTACTGCATAACTTCCCAAGAAAAATTTACATTAGTCCGTGTGAATTTGTAGATAATTATATGTCATTTATTAGAAGTATCTTAAAATTGCCATCTCTGGTGCTAATAGTTTTTTTTTTTTCGGAGCGAATGTGCACAATTTTACACTAGATTTAATATAATTTTTCATTTTCAATTAATTCACTAATGACACTGAAGTTGACAAAAATTTTTTTATAATTTTATAATGAAAAAAATTTAATAAAAAAATTTCACATTTAAAAATCATAAATGAATATTTTTAGAAGAATTTTTTGATGTAATTAATTTTTTATATAAATTAAAAAAAATTAACAGTTGTCAGCTAATTTAAGTTTTTAGGATTTTTCATTCATAAATATTTTTTTTTTAATTTTGAAAAATTACATGAAAAAACTGTCTATTATAATTGTTTTAAAATTTTTAATAAAAATATTTGTCAATTGATAATAATAACACTAAAACAAAAATATTTTTAATTTAGACTTGTACTCTTCAGTAATTATACTGTTACTAATGAGGAAATATTTTTTTCGAGTAATAACAAAAAATTAATAAAAATAATATGAATATAATTTATCTTTTTATCTTTTTTACCTTGACGACTTGATAACTGGAATTACTTTATTTACCTGTAGGCAAGTAAAGTAGCATAAGCTTGTTTCTGTAAAATTATGTTTCACATAAAAATTGATAAAAGAATAATATATTTTTCTAGTTATTTAATTTTCAGAAAAATAAGGTATGAATTTCATAAAATTAAATAAATTATTGCATTTAAATTTTACTTACAATTATTGAATATAGAATTTTTAAAATTTTAATAAAATTAAATTTTATTAAAACTTTTCTTTATGTTATAATTATGTAATGATTCATTTTATTGTTGATTTAGTTATATTAATGATTCTAATAATAAAAATAAATCCTCGTTTATAATATAAAGAAGAAAACACATAACAATCCTGTCAAAAAAGAGGTCGCTCCAAATTTTTTTAAATTTCAAAAATCGAATTTTTTTTTTTAAATTTCTTTTCTCGTTGCGGTATAATTTTATAGATAAAAAAAAATAAGTTTCTGAAAGTTTCAGTTCAAAATTCAAATTTTGAAAGGTCGCTCATAAATTTTTTTAATTTATTAGTATATTACTTCAGATTTTTTCGAGCGACCTTTTAATATTCAAATTAAAATTCTATGTATTTTTTTTTTATTTAGTACAATAATCGATAAAAAATACACCACGAGATGAACTAAAAATCAAGCACATATAGAAAAGATAATTTTTTTTTCAATTTAATAATTTTATTAATTAAAGAAAAAAAAAAAATTATGAGCGACCTTTCAAAATTTAAATTTTGAGCTGAAACTTTCAGAAACTTTTTTTTCAGTCTATAAAATTATACCGTAACAAGAAAAAAAATAAAAAAAAAATTCGATTTTTGAAATTTAAAAAAATTTGGAGCGACCTCTTAAAAATTTTTTTTTAAGCTGTCCTTTGAAGAGGGCTCTTAAAACATCAAAAACTAACATTTTTTCACTAGAAACTAAAAAAGGAAAATTTCGCTTTCAGTAAATGTTTATATTTTTTAAATTCCAATAATATAATTTACAATTATTACTTGAGATATTTAGTTTTAAATAATCAATATTATAAAACTCTGTTTGAATTAATAATAATTTTATTTTATTTAAACAATTTATTAAGTATACTTTATAAAAAAAATATTCCATTGAAATACTAAAAAAAAATTAATTATATCCTTAAGTTATACTAATTTTAATTAATTGACCGGTAGTGTCTATTTTGTACTGCAAATAAATTTTAATAAATTGAAAAACTCAAGTATGTTTTATTTATAATTACGATTTATTTTTTACGTTTGAATTTTAAATAAAAAATTTTTTTATTCTGGTAGAATTTGTGTATATAAAATTGTAAAACACAGAATTGAAAAATTAATTGTTGAATTTTAAGATATTTAATAATTAATAAAAATTACAAATAACATGCAAATAATAACGAAACAAAGTCAACTTAATTATGACTTTGCATTTAAAAAAAAACCATCAAGTGCAGTATGATAAATTCATCTTACTAATTAATAATAATAATAACAGTAAATAATAATTATCGAGCAATAGTGAGTTGGAAAATTTATTACTATGATTTACATTTTTTCTAATACTTTTTTTACTATTATTATTATTATTATTATTATTATTTATTTATTATTTACTTATTCAACTATTATTTCATGTATAAAAAATGACATTAATTTCTAACACTAATATTACCTAAATATTTACACTTGTCTTAACGAAAATTAAGGCCTCTTTTTTTGTATTTTCTATAAAAAATTTTTTTTTTTATTTTACCTTTATAAAAATACTTAAAAATTAGCTTTAATTATCAAATTCTTGTTTAATATATTTCACAAATAACTAAATTTTTTTTTATTTTATTTTATTTATTTCCTTTTTGTCAGTGAGTAATTATTGAAATAAAAAATATATAAATTAATTAATCTTAAGTTTTGATTATATGAATAACAATCAACAATAAATAAATTATCCATATGCTGATTGTCTAATGTCTCCTGTGATTTTTTCATGCTGACAATTGTAATAATAAAAACTACTTACACAATAGCCTAGCTTTAAATTGTTCGGAAAAAATACGGCTCAATAATGAACACCCACCCAGAAATATTACTAGTTTAATGCATAATTTTTGATATTTTAAAAAATAAGTTTTTTCTTAACATGAAGAAAATTTTAATTCAATTAATTTGGTTGCGTATTTGCGATCATGAGCTCAAGTTTTTCAAGAGCATACTCCAAATTACGTGCAAGACCTGCACTGCACCCGTTCTTTTGAATTGTCTCAAATCGGTACGTACGGAAGTTCTTTTCCTGATCAATGTAAGTAACAGCAGCCATCAATGGACACATGATTATTTTTGAGTGATCCAAGAAATTTATCTACAAAAAAAAAAAAAAAACATCAATAATCATAAAAAGAAGGTTCAGTTAAATTAATTAAAAAATCAATAAATAATCTTTGTTTTTATGGAAAAAAACACTTTTTTAATTTTTTGTTTACAAAGAAAAAAAAGTTTGTAAGCTAAAGGAACCAAATATTGACCAGGCAGCACAACAACTTGATTAAAAAAAATCTAATAATTAAATTTTATATTCAATACGTATTTGGTTTATCAATTTTTAATTATACATGAAATAAAAAATTATAAAAGTTATAATAAAAAAAAATAAGTTTATGTAAAAATGTCAGAAAGTTGTGAAAATTAGTCATGAGATAAATTTAGTTTACAGGATACAATTTGGCGACACCGGATTCAAATTATTAAAGATAGAAGTTGGATAATTAATATTTTAAGTCAGAAATATTCAATGGGTCGTTATATAAAAAATTATTATAGAGCGAATTTAAAATAATTTTACTAAATAATTAAATACAAAAAAGTAAATAAGTAAGAAAAATGATTCTCTACTTTGATTAAAATTTTACAATTAGTGGTTCATTTTATAAAAAAAAAAATTTTTAAATAAAGGAACTAAGTATTGATCAAGCAGCACAACAACTGGATTAAAAAAATCTAGTAATTTAATTTTATATTCAGTACGTAATTATTAATTATACAAAAAAAAAAAAAAAATTGCGCATGCACGTAAACATATGCAATGATTATAATAAAAAAAATAAGTTTGTATATAAACGTCAGAAAGTTTTAAAAATTAGTCATTAAAGCTAAACCTCGTCGTATTTAGTAAGTAAGTATATTTATAATCAATTTATATAAAATTAAATACTTCATAATTAATAAATAAGTATTTGTCAAAACAATTAATTATCAATTATTTTTGTTAAAAAAAGCAGGTTAATAATTGAAATAATACTCTGGTCGACAATTGGAGTTGTAAATTATCTAATGCACCGGTATATTAGTATGGCTTCGGCCATTAATTTAAATATTAGTACTGAAGATCTAAAATTGTCAATATTTGGAGTTTTTACCCTATTATAATTATAATTTTTAATAATAGCAAAAAAATTTACATTTCTTTAAAATGAGTGAAAAATTTTTTAAAAAACAATTTTGAAGAATTTATTTAAAAATTAAAATTAAAATTGAATTTTTTAATGAAATTTCCTATAAAAGATAAATTATTACAATTAAATGTTACATTATTATGTTTTTTATAAACAAAATTATTATAGTTTGTAAGTTAAAACTATAAAAAAAAGGAAAACACTCGTTTCATCTCATAAACTCTTTAAATAAATTTACAAATAATCTATTTATATTAATTTTATCTAAACTGGTAAATATTTGTAGCCTTTACCCGATTTTGTCTCTGAAAATTGAAAATATTAAATGATAGGGTAGATTTTATAAGTCAGACAAGTCAGAAGGTATTCCTTTTTCGAGTTAACACTAAGCCATTTTAGAGTGTGTCTATAAGGTGTAATATGTTCATCTCTTTTTTTTATATTAAAAATAAATCTTATAGAGTTATTTACTATCCGTTGTAGTATCTTATCAAGTCGTTTTGATAGATCTAAGTAAACTATAGAACAATAATCGATAATTGGTAGAAGCGTGGTTGTGACTAGTAATTTAATGGATCTGCAATACGAAATTCCATATCAAAATTATCTATTAAAAATCGAGGGAGTCGCTGCACTCCGTAATTGAGTTGAACTAGAGCACGGGGTTCTTCTCTTTGATTCACATTAACACCATCTTCAATAATATTATTCACCGCATTTTCTTCAATATTATTTTTAACTTCTGCTATGTGTACATTTCTTCCACCAACTTGAATGTTACCTATAAAATAATAATAATAATACCCTGATTAAATAATGTTTATAAAGATAATTATAATAATATCCAATTTTTTATTTCATCAAGCTTACCTACCCAGATACACCAGATGTAAAAAAACTGGAAAAATCTTATTTTTAAATCTTATGTCATACTGTCATCATTATAGACTACCGGGGGATAGATTATAGGGGGAAAAAGGGGGAATGTCTCGCATGATGTGCCCCATACTACTTATCTCTTGCGTTGAGGAATAAAAAATAATTTTACTTAAATATTTAAAATCAAAAATAAAATATTCTTCAATCAAGATTTTGATTGTCTTCCTATAAAAGTTTTTAAGTCAGGTTTTTTTTTCAAAGTAGTTTTTGAACTTAAAGAAGAAAATGATCTAATGATAACTTCAAGAGCTTAATGTGAAATTCCCTACCAAGTATAGTATAAGGAAGTAAGGTATCAATTGAGCTAAAGTTTCAGGGAATTTCTCTCAATATGCTTACTTGCAGATAAATGCATTTTTGTTCATATTTCTAAGCTTTTACGGTTCAATTGACCCTTCTCTTTCTTACACCAATGATTCTTATTAATACTTTATAACTTTAAGAATTTTCTTCTGCTGGATGAAACTTGTAAATCTTCAATAACATTGAATAATTTGAAAAATTCCGAGTATAAAAACAATCGATGTAATAATCAACTCAATAAATCCTCTTCTGGAGTCGAAATTGAACTGGATGAAGTATCAGCGAGCTGGAGGATCAATCATCCACTGCAAATTTTAAATTCTATAACATTGAAATTCAAAAGTGGAGAATTGTGTGCAGTAGTTGGTCCAGCTGGCTCTGGTAAATCTTCATTACTCAATTTGCTGTTGCAAGAGTTACCAGTTGATGCCGGGACGGTTAGACTCTTTCAGATGAAAAATGAAGTGTCAGTTGATCTTAGAACCATGCTTGGATTCGTACAAAGCAAACCTGAGATAACGATATCTTACGCAAGTCAAGATCCATTGCTTTTCTCAGGAACTATTAAAGACAACATTCTCTTTGGGCTTGAATATGATCATGCTCGTTATCAAGAGGTTTGCTTTTTAGTAAAAGATTTTAAAGAGCTTCCCAATCGTGACATGACTATTGTTGGAGAAGGTGGCAAATCTCTTTCGATAGATCAAAAAACTAAAGTCAATCTCGCCAGGGCAATTTACAGACAAGCTGATTTATATCTTTTGGATGATATTTTTCATGGAATTGACGACAATGACTCAGAGTTTATTTTCAATGAATGTGTTCTTGGCTTTCTTCAAGGAAAAACACGAATTCTGGTTACTGACCATATTGATTATTTAAAACAAGCTGACACTATTGCTGTTATAGAAAAGGTAAGAATCCCAGAAAAAATTGTTAGATCTAATGAGAGTCATGTGGAGCAAGTGTGCCCACTTTATTCAAATTAGTGTTAAAATCAAACGATAAGCATAAAAGGAAAAAAAAAATATATCTCTGATAGAGTATTTAATTAGATAATAATTGAATTAACAAATAAGTCCATGGATTTTTAATGCACTAAGCAGAGTGATTTTAATAATACTGACATAACTTTATTGAGACATAACATAACTTCAAATTTTATGTTAAATAAAAAGCTCAAATACATTATAGACAGAAGAAAAGTTAATTTATTTTAGTTACTATCCATAGTACAATGTGACAAATCTTTGCCATAAGAGCAAATTTTATCTTTACGACACCAGATTCTTAATATTTTCTATTTTAAGGAGGTTCGAGCGAATCTAATGTGAAAAATAATTTCCTACTTTGACCGTTTAGTTACTTAGTTAAAAAAAAAAAATTTTTCTTAAAATTATTTTTTTCTCATCGTTTAACTGTTCAGAATATCGAAATTACGCGATTTACCAAACTCAATTAAGATAAAAATAAAAAAAAAATTTTGGAGAAAAATTTTTTTTTTAACAAATTTCAAAAATTCATATTCTTGAAAAACACAGTTCCAAAAATTTCAGGATCTCTTAAAATTGGTACAAGGTAGTATACAAAAAAATTTGAGCAAAAAATTTATTGTCGACCGTCATTTTTGACGATTTTCAAAAATTCAAAATTTGACAAATTTGGCATTTTTCAAAATTTTTTCCCAAAATATTTTTTTTCAATAGTTCCAAGTGTCCCCTTTCAAACGAATGAAAGATCATCCTGTATCTATCCTAGCATTCGAGATATTACAAAAACAAAATTTAAAAACTGGAAAAAACGCGAAATTTTGAGTTTGCATATCTTTTGAAAAAAATTTTTTTATTTTTTTTCCTTTGGCAGAACTGCGTTATATGATAAAAGAAAACTTCTGACCAAAATTCGTTCAAATCGAAAGAGGTCGATTCCAACTATTGGTCGATTTGACATGGAATGACCCAAATACGAAAGTCATTTTATTACTTTATTTTATTAGATAAGTAAAAATCATCAATTTTTAAATTGTTCAAATTATTTTAAATTAAAATAAAGAATTTTAACGAATATTGGGAAGACTATAAGTAAAAAAAAAATTTTAACATTATTTTGACTCATAAGTTACGCTCAAACCTCCTTAATTAAACGATTATTACCATCTGGATTTTTAAATTTAACATTTATTCTGTTAAATCAACACAAAAAAGTATTAAATAACATCAAAATTTTTAACACAAAATTTTTTGATGCAATGACACAAAATTTTTTACTGTGTAATATATAACAAAAAATTGCTCTGTATTGAATAAAGAATAATGATTTTCTCATTAGGAATCAATTAAGCATCAAGGAACATTTGTTACTTTGAAAGAGGAAAGCTTTGAATTTAATGAATTGTTACATACAATCCAGCAAAACAAAACAACCAATTACACTAAAATAATCACCACAAATATGAATGAAGAAAACGAAAACATCGAGATAGAATTCAATTTAATGAAATCCCGACACACTAACCAGTTTGTATGTTAATATATCTTGAATTAATTAGTTACTTAATAAAGTAGAATTTTAAGCATTTAGTTTTCAGACTTGCCGACAGGAAGTGGTTAAAATACAAGTTGAGGGTAAAGTCGATGACAAAGCAATATCCAGCACAAATAACTTGAAGAAAACTAGTCATCGCCACTTCAACTCATGTCGAGAAATTTCAATTTATCTGTTACTATTAGTTTTGATTATTTTATGGCAATTAGCTACCATAACTGTTGATCAATGGATGGCTTACTGGACAACTGTTGAGTCAATCAAAACTTGTATTCAGGCTCCTAAGTTCATGTGCATCAATCTTCAAAACCAATTGAAATCTATACTTGATACTAATATAAACAAAAATTTTGTGAATGAGCACAAGTTAATAGTACACAAAAACGCGAAATATATTTATACAGTTTTGATTATTACTCTCATTGGCTTATTTATCTCATCGATTTATTTTTCAATTAACTTTTGCATAAGTGTTGGACAAAAACTTTACAATCTAATTTTTTGTGATTTTCTTAAAGCCAAAATGGAGTTTTTCAGTTCACAGTTTTCAGGTAAATAGGAATCAGTTGTTAAATTTATTTCGAAATCTTTAAGCTCGAAAAATGTTGTAGATAATTATTACATATCATTTTTTAAAATGGTAGCTATTACTTACCTTAAGTAAAAGAAACGAACTTGTTAAGGAAAGCTTAGTCTACTTTTTTTTCTTAAATCATTGGAAATTGTTAAAACTTTTGTATTTTTATGAGTTAAGTGATTACATTAATGATAGTTTCAATTGCGCTATTGGATTTTTTTAAAAGCTTGTAGTGTAAAATTTTGAAACCAAGAAAATAATTTTAGAAAATTTAATTGTTTTGGGTCAAGACAATTTCTTTAAGGGGGTATTCTAGTCTAGAAGCATGAATTTCAGGTAATTTTTTGAAGTGCCGAAAAAAAAAGGCAATCAATATTTTTACTATCCATTTTTTTATAAGTTATTTATTAACATTACAAGAATACAGAAAAAAATAAAAAAAGTTGAAAATTCAAAAAATTAGCAGCTGATGAAGTGGGGGGGGGGGGGTCTCAAAAAATTGGCACGTGATCATGACCACGATTCCAACCCTCCTAGCAATCGGAAATAAAAAAAGTTTGGAAAATCCAAAAGTGCACGCCTCATAACGCTCATTCATTTTTTAAGAAAAAATAAATTGTGTAATTGATTAGAAAAAAAAAAATTATAATTAAGTAATTTCTTACAGAGTATTTTTTATTTTTTTTTTTAAATATCGGCGCC